AAGACTGCCTTTAAAAAAAGAGTATCTCTGCCAGTTTATCCACTGTTATCTTTCTTCAGAGATTTTTCTTCTAGCTTCTAGAAGAGACATGACTCCAAAGTCTTGTCCCACTGGCTGTCTTCACTTCTACCCTCTATCAGAGGGAATAGATCTGTTTTCTCCTAATCACTCCCAGGCATTTGTTTTGCCAGATGCAATAAATGCCATGTCTTTGTCAAGACGAAGAAAACACTCAGCAAAGGAGTTAAAATTAAGAGACACACCCACCCCCGAAGGTCTTCACAAGAAGCAGCATTACTTTCTTTACAGGAAAATCAGAATACGGAGATAAACGCACCAGATAACGTGTTCTGTGCTCTCACATACCTTTCACAATTGCTTCTTCTGCTAGCTGCTGCTTTAGTCAAACTCAAGTCCAGTCTCTCAACTGATAATAATTTGGTGATTTAAAAGCTTTACACGATGCGTTTGATTGCAGTTCCTACAGGTGAAAGGCACGGGATGGCCAGTCGGACAATAAAACACCTTCCACACTCACAGTGCTGGCACCTATCTCGCTCTGAATTTTGAGAGTTAGTGTCTACCGCAACTAATTGGCGAAGGAGGGCTGGAAGCGATGGTCATTGCAATTTTAGGAGAATTTATAGGTACAGACCCAACGATAAGTTTTTCGCAAGGAAAAAAGGAAACGCCAGCTCCAAAACACACTACTTGAGATGCCATTCTAACAACTGCATCCTTCAGTGGTACAAGCATCAGGTATGTCAAACTGTAGGCAGACTCTCAACAGTATCTATATCGCATTTGCTTGGGCAGAAATCCTTTAAGAAGTCTTTTTCTATATCTAATCGTTCCCCCTTTAGAGAAAATAAAACATACATCTCCTTGAAACATCATATGCCAACTGCAAAACAGCCTTATTTTTAATATTCATGAAAGCTGGTGCAGAGAGAGGGAAGGAGGATGGAAGAGGATGCTATGAAACAAATAGTTAATTGGAACTTCCAATGAAGGCTGCATGGATCTAATGCGATAGACTTTAAAGGAGCCTAATTTTCTGAAATTGCCAGAGCTCCAATCGGTGAAAATGTGGCCTTTCACAGGTCTCCAATTCAGCTTGCCACATCTAGAGTTCCTTTTGAAAAAAAACTCTTGCCATAAAAGCCCCCCAGTTTGGTAGCAAAAATTAGCAGCCTTCATGGGATATCAATTCCTTTGTCTCTCCTCCCCTAACTATGGCTCTTTGGAAAGAACTAAGGACTATTTGTCTTTTGTTATTTTTCCAAGTAGTAAAGATAAGAGTAGAATCTAATAAAGAACAAAAATGGGGGGGGGAAAACCCACCCACAAAAGCTAAATCTTCACACCTAGCCCAAAAGCAGCCCCTGTAATTGAAAAGCATTTCTCCCTCTGAAGAAAATAACACCTATTGGGTCTCAGAAAAAAAAAAAAAATCCCCTTGGCGGTGTGAGAGAGGCCAACACCTCCAGCAGAAGACAGCAGGACAGGCTCTGAACCAGCACCGCACGCCCCAGCAAAGCCATCGGGTCTGGTGCAGAAGGTGGGCAGCACCTATGGCTCATGGAACCCTGCAACAAGACATTTATTTTGCAGGCAGAGGACTTTAGCTGTACAGAGAAAAATTAAGCACCACCTTTCTCTAGCTCAAGAATTAGAACTCAATACCCCACAACTCCACAATTAAAAGAAATGCATTTGCTTTGAATCTCCTGCAAACTACGAGCTTGGGGATAAATCAATTTGAATTTTACATCCGCTCATAGACCTCTCCCAAGGGACTGCCTGGCCTCCTTCCTCCCAGGGATCCACCTCTCCACCAAGGATGGGCAGGAGGAAACTCCTGGGGAACGTGGCTCCCCAAACCCGCTGGTGCTCATGGTGCAGAGGACACGTGCAGTCACGCGATGGGAAGTCACCAGCCACTTCCAAACCCCAGCGAGGTCCAACCCGGCGCAGAGCCTTTCCCTGTGGTTTGCACAGATCGCTCGAAGCAGCTGGGGAAAGGCAACAGCCCAGGACACACACAAAACAGCCACGATCTACCTTCGGCTGCTGTAAGATCACAAATGACGGCGCAGGGCAAGTCTAAGCATTTAACTGATGGATCCATAAAGAACGATATTAAAAAGCGTAAAGACAACCAGGGCAGGATTTCCTGAACTGCCAGTGCTGAGTAGCACAGGTACAACAGCTTTCAAAATTCGGTATTCAAAAGGCTCAGCTCCCGTGTTTTGCCGTTCCAGTGTCATTAACGCCTACTGCAGGTCCATTTAAAAAGGAAGACACAGCTCCCTGACAAAGCTCAAACCATGGAAATATTTGTTTGGGGTAATATATATATATATATTTGGAAATATATGCTTGGATAATGTATTGTTTGTCTGGGGTAATATATACACACACTATACAGTGTGTGTGTGTGTATGTTTATTTATTTATTTTTCTGCTGCCCAGGCAATGGAAAAAGACAAAAAGCAAGCACAGAAGGAAGCAGGTTGGGAGACATCATCAGCTGCAGGGCTGGAAAGTGGCTTTTGAGCGTGGGAAACAATAAAAGAGAC